GCCAGGATCTCTTGATTATATCTATCAGAACACTGGCGGTACGTTTTTTCCCATGAGGCAAAGTCGGCATTGGGGAAGAGGCGGCCCCAAGTCATGCGCTGGATTTGAGCAGAGTCTTCCATCATCTCCCGGACCAGCTCTTTCTTTTCTTGCTCGGCCTTTTCCGAGAGCTCTTGAGTAAGACTCTTCTCCTGGGTTACCAGGCGTTCCTTTACGCTCGCCAAGGATTTCTCCAAGGTTTCGTATGAGGACATCTTTTGGCGAAGAGGTCTCAGCTCGGCCTTGAGGTTGTTGATGGTCGCCTCCAGCTCGCTATTCCTCTTCTGGGCCGCCTCTACATGAGCCCGGATAGCGGCGGTAGCCTGCGCCTGATAATAAAGAATATCAATGGTCAGAACTTCATTTTGGGCAATTTGAAACATTGCCTTATCACAGTCAGAGGCGGCCATAGCTTTTGCAGCCTTTACCTCTTTGTTCTTCCGGTCAAGCGGCTTGCGAAGGCCGTTCACTCGGAGCAGGGCCTAAGTAAGAAGGGGAACAAGCGTCAGTTTCCAAACAAAAAGAAAACAGGCGTCCTGGAATTCAAATACTCAAAAATATGCTAAGTATACCTCAGCAAGGACCCCTGCAATCCCGTCTAGGTCAAGGGTGCCGACACCCCTGACCGCCTCCCTTTCAGCTGGAGGAACGACCTTGATCATAGACTTGGCCACCTCGACCAAGTCAGGCTCCTGAGGGCCGGCTGCATCAAGCATAAACAAACGGATTAGACCTAGTAAAGAAGGGAGCAAGTCTAAAATTTACAAGGACAATTTCATACTTCTAGGTGGCCCAGCTGGAGTTTTAGAAGAAGTGGCCGGCTGTTTCTCAACCGCCGCATGTTTCCTGGCAGAACCAGGAGAGCTCGCAACAGTCGTCCTCCGGGCCTTGGGGTCCGGCTGTTGGGAAGAAGAAGCTCTTGGAGCGCCCGTCTAAAAAAGAAGAAAAGAGTCAGTATATGCATAAACACAACTCCAAAAAGAGGGTGAAAGGTTCGAAGCCCACCAAGGGTGCCCCCTTGTTGGGGGAGTCGGTTGAAGACTGTTGCATGATGGAGGCCCGCAACATGGCCGCCGCAGTCTTGGAGGCGGTAATTTTGCTCATGGCGTCAGCTGCAAAAACAAATAGCAAAGTTAATAAAAGTCATAACAAGAAATGCACGGAACAGCAGAGTATTCGACAGGCCGGCTACCTCTTGAGCACCGACTGCTGAGGCCACAGCCGGCCAAAAAGTACTCGTCGTAGAGCCATTTGAAGCTCGGGACGCAGTGCAGGGGTACTTGCTCTCGTACCCCTGAAGTAGAGTTCACCTTCGACTCTACTTTGAAGAGTCCTTTATCTAGGATCTCTTTCTTAGCCTTGGGGGGAACAGGCGGCATGCTGCGGCCGCCTGCAAGAAGGGGCGGATTCCTGTTCCACCTGTTGAAGCGCTTGTTCAGCTCTGTGTCTGAACTCTCAATGATGAGGAAGGTGCTCCGCCAGTCCTTCCATTTGTTTGCTTTACCTCTCGTCATGAGGTAGCCCCTGTGGCTCGTCAATTGATACCAGCCGGTACCGCCTGCCTTAGGGGTCCGGCTGAGGTAGTTCATGTGGGCGAAAGCCTCGAAGCTCGGCTCCACCCCGTGCAGTTCGCACCCGGCCACATAGCCGAGTACGTTGACCCAGGAGTTCGGGGCTAACTGCCATAACCCCAACTCATACCCATCCAAGATCCGCTGAACAACTGGATGTAGTGGGAAGCGTAGCCCGGCCTTGATGGCCGCCTCGTAGCAGCCAAAGCAGGCGCCATCATAACTGGTACCAGCCGGCCATACGACTGTGTCTTCTGGATCCGGCACGAACACTAAAAAGCCAGGGCCCATTGTGTGGTTTGCGATAAAGCTCTCCACTTTCTCTTGCATGGCCGTGATCCGGCCCCGAGGTACCGTGCAGTAGTAGGGGGTATTTTGCTCTCGGTGAGAGGCGGATGGCTCCGCCCAATCGTCCCCCTTCTCAACTGCGTGAGAAAGCCTCGCCTCTTGTAGGCGACTGTTTTTCTCTTCTGTGTCCAGGGAAGCATGGCCAGAAGAGCTAGATTCGGAATCGTCCTCTGACGAGTCCGAAGAGGACGACTCTTCCCCTCTCCCGGAGGGGCCCGCCTCCTCTCCTTTAAAAGGAGCAGGAGAGAATGTAGAATTGTCAACTGTAAAATGGGAAGGGGTCACTTTGACTCCTCCCTCAGAACTGCCGGCTTTCAAGCCGCTTTGTTTCACTTCCACATCTGGCGCCTGGTCAGATGTTTCACTAATCGGCACCCTGTGGGAGGAGCCGTCTGAGTTTGAGATCCTGGCAGTCTTTTTTGTTCTGGCCATCATGCTCTGCATAGACACAGATACAGTCGGACTTTGTATAAAGGGCAAAGATGGGTCCAGAAAAGGGCAGGCGGCACTCCTAGTCCTAGATTCAGCCGTCCCCGGTGACCGGCTGATCACTAACCTAGGTCGTGTCGTGTGCTTCCGTGGTGCCATTTCAAAAAAGAATAAAGTAAAGAGAAAATTAAGAGTAAGAGAACCGACGGTTACCTGAACGAGTGACGATTGATGAAGTTCTGAAAATCCTTTGCAGTCGGCTTGTCAGAGCAGGCGGTGGGCAGAAAGGGTCCAAAATGTCAGAGCAAGTTCAGGGGTCCGAATGTTCTCTCACAAAGTTTTCAAGTGTGAAAATGACCGAAGTCAACACTCCTTTATATAGGCGAAGTGAGAAGGCGAAGGGTCACTTCCAGAATTCAAAATTTTGGCAGGAGAATCTCTCGGCCTCTCGCCGAGTGACACCTGTAGCAGGCCGTCGCCTGTTACAGGGCGATACCTGTCACAGGTAAAACGTGACCAGTCACGTGCCACCTGTGAGGGGCAAATGATTAGGGGATTTTTCCCCACCAATCACCATCTGACAAGTGGACCAATCAGGTTCCGCCATGTGTCCGTCACATGGGCCAATAGGAGCCTGCCACGTGTCAAGCAATGATCCGTCCACTATGGACCAATTACGACACGACACGTGTCCTTCCCATGACACCTGGGATAACCGGTCACCTAGGCCCAACTTCCGAGGGAAGCCCAATCAGCCCAAGGTTAACCTAAACCTAGATTGACACGTTTCCCGAGGTTATAAATACCTCCCTTAATCCTCATTAAGGGAGATTACGCTAAAAACGCAGATTACACACATTAAACACTCTCACCTAGAGAGACCCAATCACTTTAATTTCCGCATTAATTACTCCTTAATCAAGTACTAACTTGACCGTCGGAGGCGGATCTCCAATCATCCGGAGCATCCGTTTGTTTTGCAGGTACAGGCGTCCGGTTCCAGTCTCGGAATTGTAACTCTCCCGCAGGACATCAGAAAACCCCGAAACAGAACGGAAGGAGTATTATGGATTGGTCATATCATTTTTATTTTGCAATATAATAAGTTAATGAAATAAAATTTTATAATCATACTTATAACAATGGTGTTAATATATAATATCTTTATATTTCATCCTATGTCTTAGGGCGTGTTCTTTTCAATTTATTTTCAGTTCAGTTCCAATAAATTCAGTTCAATTCTTAATTTCCTTCTCTCATAAAATATTCAATTCAGTTTGGTTCAGTTCCAATATGTTCAGTTATGTTCAGTTCAGCTCAATTCTATAAATCAAAACAGGCCCTTATAATACTAGACTACTAGAATTACAAAAATCTCATATGATAATATCATATCTACTAGTATTACAATAAAATCACATATGATAATATTATATAGCAATTGACATTTATATATCACAATATTAATGTATAAATCTTAGCACATTATATACTAATATTACAATAAATCTCATATGATAATATCATATCATATCACAATAGATATTTACATATATCTCAATATTAATGTATAAATTTGATCACACTATGGCATGTTCACTTCAACAAAAAAAAATAATATTAAGTAATAATAATTTCAATTCAGTAATAATAAGTTCAGTTCAGTACATATAAGTTCAGTTCAGTTCAGTTAAATTCAGTTATGTTAAAGAAGAAATTTAATTAAAAATCAGTAAAAATAATTTCAGTTCAGCAAAGATAATTTCAGTTCAGTAAAAATAATTTAAGTTCAATAAAAATAATTTAAGTTCAGTAAAAATAATTTAAGTTCAGCAAATGTAAGGGCCTGTTCTCATACGTTTATTTTCAGTTCAGTTCAGATCCTAATTTCCTTCTCTTATAAAATATTCATTTCATTTCAATTTAGTTCAGTTTAGTTCAGCTGATTTCAGTCTATTGGAACAGGACCTAACTTTGTTTCAGTAAAAATAATTTCAGTTCAGCAAATATAAGGTGAAGTGAACGAGGCCTATATACAGAAATTCTATTTTAAAATGGTCTAACATCTACTGTAATAGATTTCAACAAGTTAAAATCTTTCTAAAAATCTCTTTACCATACAAAATCGTGCACAAAAAGTTAATTTTAGGCCCCATTCACTTCATCTTATTTTTTTTTGCGGAATTGAAATTATTTTTGTGAACATAAATTAATTTTACTGTACTAAAATTATTATTACTAATGTTCTATTATATTTTTTCTTTTAAGTTTATTGATTTTTACTGAATTTAAATTATTTTTACTAAATTTAAATTATTTTTGCTGAACTAAATAATTTTTTTTTTTTTTGAATAGGAACTAAACCATTTTTTACTAAAGTGAAATTAATTTAAATGAAGAATTCATATCGTTAATTAGAATCTTCATAAGTATGTTAAAAAGGGGAAATAAGTCGTAAAAGGAAGGGGGAATTTTAGGTCATAAAAGCAAAACCACGTGAAATTAGCAAATACGGATCTAACAACGTTAAGAAGTCTTGAGAAAAAGCGTAAACACACAACTCCTCTCAACAAAAAAAAAAAAAAAAAAAAAAAGCGTAAATAAACTAAACACATAAAAAATAAAAAATAAAAAAAAGGAAAAAAGCACAAAAAAGTGGGAGCCGCAAATAGTATCCACGTGTAAGAAATATTATGGCAAGTATACTTGTCCATCTCACGCGCGCGAGTATAACTAAATAAACACTCACATCCCACCAATTTTCTTCATAAAGAGCAAACTTAAAAATATTAAATTAATTATTATTAAAATAAAAAATCTTATCCGATAAAAAAAAAAAAAAAAAACGAAGGAGTAGAAAAAAAGACAAAGGATTGCCACGTGTTAGAGGCGAACTTTGAACGTGAGCCACAAGAATCCACAAAGTTCTGGAGAATTCTACCAAAATCTACCCTTAACAAATATCATAATTCCCATTTTATCCTCCAAAAAATCCTCCCACATAAACCCCCCTTTCTTCCTCATTTTTTTCTTCTCTTAACAATAAACTGTCTTCTCTTCTTCTTCTTCTACTTTCTCTCTCTTACGTGGCAATCTCTCTCAAAAATTTATCTGCTGTTTCTCTTGTTAATCTCTTACTGTTAATTTGTATTCAATTGAATTTAGCTGAATATTTCAAGTTTCTGGAAAAATTTAAGATCGAAGAAGATTGGATTTTGATTCGATGCTTTCGTCTTCGTCTAATATGGCTGCTCAAGTAAGTTTTCGTTTAGATTTGTAAATTGTTTTGTGATTTTTTCTGTTGAGAAGATTTATGTTTTTGGATATTTTTGTAATTGAATTGATTAGATGTTGTATGACTTTCGATTGATGAATTAATGTATACTGTAGTTTGGAAAAAAATAATCAATTTTAATTCAGGAGGATAAGATTAATTAGGTGAATTTTATTAATTTGTTTGAAATTGTTAATTTGATGATAATTGGTTGATTTCATATGATTACTTAGAATCTAAGAATTTTGTTTAGTTGATAGGAAGATGAATTACTCAAGAGTTAATTAGCTTAGGAAAATGAAGTATGATTTTGGTGGATTAATTATTGTTATTTTTTGTTAGATAATTTTGTTAATTTGAACAGTTATTTAGGTGTTGCTTGTGATATTTAGTGGTTAACCTACTTTTGTTGTGCATAATTATTAATTTAATTATAAATTCAATAGCTAATTTTGGTATTTTGTGATTTTTTTAGGATTTGATGCTGTATAAGTGTATAACTGTGTTTAATTATGTTGTGTATGGTTATTTTTGGTAAATTAGTCCAAAATACTCGATTTCGGTATGTTTGTATTGTGTTTCTGTTTATATGATTGAGAATTTGATTAATTCTGAATCATACATACAGATTGACAAGTCTATTAACTGCAATTATGACCGGAGTTGTTGTTGGATTGGGTAATTCAATGTTGCATTTTCAACTACATGATTCCGATTTCGTTTGTTTTGATTCGATACGATTGTGACTGGAGTTGTTGGAGTTGGATACTGATATTGAACTTTGTTTAACTATATCAGGAGGAGACTAGTGCTGCTCAATCTAGTTCAGGCAATAAGAATTCGCCAGCTGCCGGAGTGCAGTCAGCAGTGGGAGAAGGCCAAGTTCCTAAGGTGTTGATCATTTCTTTGCCTATTAAGTGGCAAATCTTTGATTTCAAAACTGCGTTGTTCAGTGTACCTTACTCTTCTTCTGTCCTCTTTCTCCTTAATTAAAAACAGATTCGAAAGCCGTATACTATAACAAAGCAAAGGGAAAGATGGACGGAAGAAGAGCATAATAGATTTCTTGAAGCTTTAAAGCTGTATGGCCGAGCATGGAGAAAGATTGAGGGTAAGTTTTGAGAATTAACTTTGATGGTTATACACGAATTTGAAAATATAATCTGCTTGCGAAGATGCTAAATTACTTGTTTTTGTGTTCAGAGCACGTTGGATCTAAGACGGCTGTCCAAATCCGCAGTCATGCCCAGAAATTCTTTTCAAAGGTCCTTTGCACACTTTTTACCTTTTGTTTGAAGTAAGTTGTACTGACCGTGACCTTGAAGGCGTTGTGAAAGTTCTTTAAAAGGTCAAATTTAAGTGGCTCATGTTTCTGATCCGTGTCTGTATTTGTATGTTCAGGTTGTTAGGGAAACAAGTAACAGCAATGCAAGCTCGGTTGAGCCAATTGAGATACCACCACCCCGTCCTAAGAGAAAGCCGTCACACCCATACCCTCGCAAACTTGTGCTTCCATCTAGAAAAGATATGCCTATGGAACAGGGAGCAAGATCTGTGTCTCCAAACTCCTCGCTCTCTGAGCAAGATAATCAGTCTCCTACTTCAGTTTTGTCTGCTGTGGCCTCAGATATGTTAGCATCTGCGGATTCAGCTGCCACCAAAAGTAACAGTCCATCCCCGGTATCTTCAGGCAATTTTGGCAATGAAGTTGCAAGGTTGCGTTCAGAAGATAACGCTTCTCAAGGGGAAGTGCATGAGTCCAAATCAGGATCAGTTGCTCCAGCTTCAGTGGTACTTAATTAACTACTTGTTTGTATCGAAAACTTTGTTTTACTACTGTTTTTAAGTGTGTCATATTAACGTAATTGATTTGGATGTGCAGAAATTGGAGCTTTTCTCAGATAAGGAGTCATCTGACAAGGAAGAATCAGGTTCTACAAAGGTCCTTAAATTATTCGGAAAAGATGTAGTAGTCTCAGGAAACTCTGAATCATTTACTTGCTTGAGCAAGTCACCCTCATCAGATATGGGGGAAGGAGTCGTACAGGCATATCAAGAAGATTGTAAGCCTGATAATTGCAGAGAAGCACAGGACCATGTGAAATTTAATTGTGAGCATAGTAATACATACCAGGTAGAGAAACCGATTCCTCTTCCATGGTGGGTTTTCTTCAAAGGGATGTCAGTACCTCCCTTTAAAGATCCCCAAGAGAAGGAAAATCAGCGAGATGGATCTTCTGCAGATTCAGATAGCGGTTCAGTGAATGAAGGAGAGAATCCAGATAAGAATTGGGAAATGGAGACGGGGTCTGGCCAATGCGGTCTACAGTCTGACAAAGAAAGCAAGTCTGTAGAGGATTCATGTACTCCGAAAGAACTCACTTTGATCGAGAAGAGATGTGTTGACAAGGGTAGAAAGGGCTTTGTTCCGTATAAAAGATGTCTGTCGGAGAGAGACATGCAATCATCGACGATACCTAATGAAGAAAGAGAAAGTCAAAGAATCCGACTTTGCTTGTAGTAATATATCCTAGCGAGATTTCCTTATTTAGATAGCACATCATTTATAACTATCCAGACTGAAATATCCAATTCAGTATTCACAAGGAACCAGTACAGTCATACAAGTAGCAATTTTGGTCGCGATATGATTATATGTCTATATATGAAGTCTGATCGTATAACCGTCCTCCAAGGTGAGAGGCAATATATGGTGGATGGAAGTTGATGGCGCGGCAAATAAAGGCTCCTCAGAAAGTGAAATTGAGGGGGTGTTCTGCTCAGTCCTTTATAGAAAAAATTTCAAACTTTGCTGGATCTTTGACCTTTGTACTGTTTCTTCTAGCTTTCAGGTTTCCCTCAGTTTCTGATTTCTAATTTTTTTTCTTTGGGAGATTTGGTTTCTAGGTCTTGTATACTAGGGTCTCAGTTCAAAATTTTTTTTTTTTTCTCTTTCCTTCCCCTTGTTTGGGGTTTATAATTTGTGAATTATTATGATTAGTATTTTGGCAAGAGTTTTTGTTCAGTGCTTGAGAATCACAAAAAAGAGCAATTTAGTGAGTTATACTAGATCCTATACAAGGTTTGGGGAACTGCAAGTCTACAACTTCTAATGGTGGATATGAGATACGCATATATGTCCATGCGCTAGCATATCTCGTGTTCAAGTAGGCAGACAAGGGTCACAAGGCAGTGCTTGAAACAAGTGAAGAAAAATTAATTTGGAGTTGGGTCATGTTTGTGCCAACCTTGTGTCAACTTTTAAAAATGATGTCCATACACTATCGATGGACTAGTAACTTTGGTAAGACTTGTGGCGGATTCATGCTATGTCAGATGACTCGGATCATTTTCATGTCGTACTTGATCGACCTTCATGGTAGTCCGGCCCATGCCTAACGCCCTAACTCTAATAACTACCGTCTCATTATACAGTGAAGATTAGAGATACCGCGGTGATTATATGTTTGGTGTTATAGGATGTGCCTGATTTAGGCATAGTGATTATGTGGATACGAAAGAGAGACAGAAAATCAGAAACCAGTAAAGCTCTGACAAAATGATCTGTCTACTTGTGACCTCCAGAAGCAGCAATCTATGGAATTCGACATTGCGTCATATTTGTGGCTCTAGTTTGTTAAACAACGCACAACCATGTGCTTATGCGTCTACATTTTGTTGGTGGGATTTCTTGCATTCCACTTTGTGACTATGTGGGCCATACTGTTCATATTTGGAAAGCTTGGCTGATTAACATTGCATTATTACAAATTTAGCATTACCAACAGGTTTATTGCAACATAATCAATTGCCTCATTTTACAAATATTTTATGTTGGTGGATAGATTTGCTCTTTTAGGGTGCTCGTTTAGGACTTGTTGTCAATTACTTATGGCCTAGTTACCCAATGAGGAATTAAACAAGTATAGTCATACAACCAGTTACGTGTACAGTCAAATTTATGCTACAATAAGTTGTATAATAAAAATTATTTTCAATGTAATAATTAGGGTTAAATTTAGTTGAATCTAGCTCGGATGGATAATAGATCAAGTTGAATTGGGTTTGTGTTCGAGTCGATAATGAATATGTTGAAATTATTATAAACACAAATCTAACCCATTTGTTAAATGTGTTGAAATTTAATCTATAATCTAACCTATTTATTTCGTTAAAAAAAACCTATTTATTAAATGAGGTATTATTTAACCCTTTTTTTTTTCTTAGTACTACATTGATATTAAAATTAGTTATGTCAAATTGCCATACATATATTTTATGCATGATTTTTATTTTTCAAGTCATTATGTTTAGCCCTTAGACACATTTTTCAATATCATATTTAGATATAATTTTAATATTATAAACTAATCAAGCTATAAGGTTAATTTTGAGTTGCAAATTCGCTATTTTTGAGTAAGATTCGGCTAGGGTTAGTAAATCGAGCCAAATTTTCTCATATCTAGCACTAGCACATTATTGTCCTTATGTGGCTTTTATAAGCTCCATCTATGTCAAATTTATTGCAACACTAATTATTACACATATTTCCCGTCAAAAAAAAATAAAATATTACACATATTTTAAGAAAAATAAATTGTGTACCATGAATTGAGATTTTATTATTGTGTCTTGCTAGAACAATAGTGAGATTTTATACTCGTAGAAGAGAAATTAGTAGAACAATTCAACAATCTAGTAATCATGAAACTTTTCTTAATACAAAAAATCTAACAATTAATTAGAATTCAACAAAAAATAAGTAGTGCTGTGATTAACAGAAACAAAAGGGTCGAATTCGATAAAAGGATAAAATTAAAATAAACACCTCACCTCTTTTTAATTGTATATGTTTATATCTATCATATTGATTTCCGCATTTGTCAACTCATGAATTTATGTTAATTACTTATAAATGGTAAATTTTTGGGTGAGACGGACTCACATAAGTCCACCATCTTCATTCTATTTCTTCTCCTTTCTTTCTTCTCCCGCCCATCAATGGCGACCAGATCCTCCAGCACTCTCCGCCTCTTCTCCTGCACCTTTCAACTTGTTGGCGATGAAGGATCTCCTCCAACTCCCCCTAAATCTACTCTCTCTCCTCTCGAACCTCAATCCAAAACCCTAGAATCTCCAACCCTAGATGAGTTCATCTGATAGTAGCGAAACGAAGAGTATTCTGTCGAAGTTGGGACGAAGAACAAGCCTCTTCCAAAACCTTAATGGATAAAGGAATCTGATTTCCTCCCTTCCACTCACTTCTCATGAATTTCATATTATGTTTGGGCAATATAATTTTTCGATTTTAGGTTAATGGAGGATGAAAAAAATGTCAAATTGGTTTCCTTCATTATTGAAGCGACTTTGAGGTGACTATTTTCTTAAACAGTCGATTATCAATTACATTATATTGTCAGTTTCCTTAAATGTTTACTGTTAGGTTTAGTATTAATTGGTTTAATATTTGTCAGGAATTAGAAAATTTTAGTCAGAGTTAGGATGATTTTAGTCAGGAATAAGATAATTTTATCACGAATAAGACTATTTTAGTCAAGAATAAGATAATTTGTATCAGGAATAAGATATATAATATTATAGAATTTATAAAATGTTGGTGCGCGGGCTTGATTGGGTTTCTCATAACCGAGCCTTTTTGTTGCTGAGCCCGGTCTCACGTGAGTCCGTTCTACGCTTCTCTGGTATTAAAAACTATAAATTCCTCGTACAAATGCACAGATTTATAAAAGCAGGAAAACAAGAGACATTAGAACTCTAATTTGCTATTTTCACAAAAAAAAAAAAAAACACTCTAATTTGCTATCGAAAATGTAATAGGTATCTTTAAACAAATATTTTTTGTTTCATTTAAAACTTTAATTTGAAATGCTATAATGTGTATATATTAATTGAACATTTAGCGATAGATAAATTAATTCTATATATATACTACGTTTAACTTAAATGAGAATGTACGATTTTATGTGTGCAATTTTTGAACAAAAAGTGCATATTATTTTAAACTGAATGTACCACTTTTTCTTAAATAAATGTACATATAATTTTAATACTACCTCTGTTAAATGCTATGTACAACTTTGGGGTATTATTTGTGAGATATAAAATATTTCAAACTTGCACATAACATTTAACGGAGGTAGTAATTAAAATGTGAACATTTTCCTACCTTATAAAAAGTAGGAGATTGCTCTTATGAATAGTGCATGGACCATTATACCATTCAAAATGCTTGTTTACCTTTTTATCCCATGTGTAATTAATTTTGCAATTTTTCTTAAAATCCATCAATTAGACCCCAGTCACTTCACCTTATTTTTGTTGAACTGAAATTATTTTTACTGAAACAAAATTATATATGCTGAACTTAAATTATTTTTACTGAACTTAAATTAATTTTACTGAAATAAAATTATTTTTGTTGATTTTCTATCATAATTCTTCTTTAAGAAAACTGAATTTTACTGAACTGAACTTATTTTTAGCGAACTGAACTTATTTTTACTGAAATGAAATTAATTTTACTGAACTGAACTTATTTTTACTTAATATTATTTTTTTAAGGTGAAGTGAACAGGGCCTTAATCAGAAATTAAATAGAGAATGGATTAACATTATTAGTCACTAAACAATGAAAGGTTGTTGCTTTATGTGGGCGTTATTTTAAAGTAGCTCAACTAAAGTTTAGAAAATTACACAACTACACAACATCTAACACATTTATCGTTTATATGCAAATAACTTTGATAAAATATTATACACAAACCGGCATAGGACATAAAGGACATCAATAATAATAATTCTTCTCAAAGGGCTAGCTGTATCGCGCGCTTTGGAATCCCTAGTACAAATTGAAAAATAAAAGAGATAAATATCAAACAATCTATCTATACTATATAATAAAGTAAGTAATCACCAAGATTAATCTAGAAGTACATGTGTCGCAATTATATTAAAAATTTTCACGCCAAAAACTTTTTTTTTTCCTTAAAAAATAATAAGATAATTAATAAAAAAAAAATATAAAGCATACATAATACTCCCTCCGTTTCATATTACTCGCAACAAACGGAGGGAGTGCGGACTCCTAGGCAAAAGATTGGAGGAGGATTAATTAAAGGAAGGTCTTTGTAATTAAAGAGAGAGAAAGTGGAGGGAAAGTTAGTGGTCCTCAAAAAAGAAGTGGGAACATGTGATTATTTGCAAAAAGGGAATAATGTTCCCTCCCTTTTTTTTCCTGACTTTGGTGGCTGAATAAAATTGGACAGCCACTTAAGGGATTAAAAAATTTTCCCTCCAAACTTTTCATGAAATTTTTAAAAAAGTTTTGAACTTTAACAAATTTTGAAACATGCCAATTTTCAACCAAAAGCCCCATATAAAAGGCACAAATCTGATTCATTCTCCCTATTCATTCATAACAAATGTTTGGGAATAGGGGGGGGGGGGGAGGGGAGGGAAATTGAAATCCACCATTAATTACATAAATCCAAAACAAACTGTTTCCAAAATTACAAAATCCTTCATCAACCTAAATTAATCCTAATTCCTAAATGCTGAGTTAGTTGCAGCATTTGATCTTTGTACAGAATTAGGCTCCACTGAAAGCTTCCAAAAAAAAAACTAGGCACCTCCAATTCATCACCTACCACCAGATCTGAAAAAAAATAGGGGACTCATGGAAGAAATCTTTGATGATTTTTTCGATATCAACCAACTGTTGATGGAGCAAGACAGAGAGGCATCACAGTACAACAACACAGTATCAGGGTCAGATTCAAACGAATCAAATCATCAACACAACAATGAAGGCAGTGATGTTGGGGAATCACAGTCAGAATCAGAAGATGACCAGGAGCATGCAATGAATGGCAGGCAGAGCAGAGAACTCAACATAGAAGAAAAAAGGCAAATAGTAGATGACATTTTGCTGAATATGGAAGGGGACTCACTTCCAAGAGGGATGCTTACATCATTGGCAATCAAGCACCAAGTACACAGATCAACCACAAGCAGGTGGTTCAAAGAAATAAAAAAAACAGATTCAGTTAGGCAACATAGTGGATGTAAGGAGTAAGAAGTTAGGGAAGACAGGACCCAAGCCTAAACAATACTCAGATGAGTGGCTTATGTATGTCCCAATGTACAAGAGAACCACAAATAGGAGTTATGCTGCAACATTGAAGGTTCCACATGTTCTCATACATAGGTTAAAAAAAAAAGGGAAGACTCAGGGCTGTGACAACAACAAATCACCCTGCACTTAGTGATAACCACAAAGTGGCAAGGTTGAAATGGGTCCTTAACCATGTGAACCCCCTGCCTAGTGAAGGTGACCCTAGTTTTAGGGATTTGCAGCATTACATCCACATTGATGAGAAGTGGTTTTATATGAATCCAGAGACTAGGACATTCTACCTAACACCAAATGAAGAAACACCATAACAGAGCACAGTAAAAAAGATTCAAGATAAAGGCCATGTTTATGGGGATGATTGGTAAGCCACTGTATGATGAGAATGGCACATTGATTCACTCAGGGAAATATGGGCTATTCCCATTTGTTAAGTATGAGATGGCCAAGAAGAAAAGAAAAAACAGAGATGCAGGAACAATGGAAACAAAAGCAATACAAAGTCTCAACAGAGAAGCAATAGGAGACATGATATTGCAGCACATCATTCCAACAATCCATGCACAATGGCCAGCCCAATTATCTAAGAACATAATCATACAGTGGGACAATGCTAGGCCTCATCAGATTCCCAGGGATGAGGAATTTCTTGCTGCAACACAAGAAAATGGAT